GGTGCAGTTTATACTAATTTAGGGTATATAATGTCACACCTCGCAACTCCGACTCCTGAATTTTTTAATTTCAAATATTGCATGTTCTATACGGGTAGGACCATCCATACAGAGATTTGCCAGTTCTGTGACCAAAAATACAAAACACAATTTGTTTGTACTTGCCCTCAGGACAAAACCTGCCAGCCGTCTTCTGTTTACCACTATTTAACATGGTGTAGTATGTGCTTTATATCTTAATTTGGGAATGAATAGACTTTGTTTCTATGGACAACGACTGTGTTGTCCGTAGAAAAAGGACTGATTTACCTATTATCAAATCATCATAAATTAAAAAACTGTACTGTATCTTCCAATTCACTTTGAAATCTCCAGGCTGAGCTAGAAGCACAGAAAAGGAGTTAGCAGTTAAGTGAAAAAGAGGGCCTTGGGCTGAAATGTTTCTTAACCCCTTAAGGACACATGACATGTGTGACATGTCATGATTCCCTTTTATTCCAGAAGTTTGGTCCTTATGGGGTTAAAAAAAAAAAAGATTTTAAATGTAAAAATAAAGAAAAACAGGCACAAGAAAAAAATAAAATAGGAAAACGTGTTGCTGCAATATTATGTGAATCGCCAGCGTTTCTTAGTCATGCAGTTTATAGATGTGTAAAGACATGTACCGGTATAGTTTTACATTAACTTGTAATGTGGGAGAGCCTTTCGAATTCTGTAAAGTCAGCATATATAATTAAAAACCATCTCTTTGTGCATCAGGTGTAGTGTATTATTATATAGCTCTGAGTTTCCCAACCTCCCAGCTTCAGGGCACAGAATGGTACAGTGTAAATTGAGCAACGTCAGGAACAGGTAAATTAATGACTGTGATTCAATCATTAGTTAAGTTGCGGTTATGAAACATGCTTCGGATCAGGGATATCCCTAAAACTTGCATTACTGTTTCACCTGAGGCCTGGCAGGTAGAAGAACTTCTTCAGGGCAATCTTAGATCAACAGCTACCCACTGAATAATACCTTCTCGATATTTCATGGCATGAACAGGCTCAAATACTATCATACTTGAACCAATACAAAATTTCTGCCCATAGATAGCTATACCAAGGAAGGTTGTCATTGCATGCAGAGAAGTCCTGTAGTGCAAATAGTTTTGAGCTGTGGGCCAGGGATCTTAAAGGAGCATTCTTAAAACTCAGACATATAGGGTATATTGGGTATGCTAGGTTACAGTTTGTTTGTTGGGTGTATTTTTTTTTGCTTATCATATGTTTTTTGTTTTTTTTTTGGCTTGTGAAACCCACCCTTTATTTCCCTATCTTCCGAAAAAATACTGTTGGCTGTTGGGAGTTGTAGTTTAGCAGTCAACCTTCTATAGTGGAAAGCCTCAAGACCTCGCTCTTCTATACCTTGCAATGTAGGTCGGTATAGGGATCTAAAAGGGACTCACCGCATCCCTAAAACACTACAGAAGTAATTTATGTGTGAAGAGTGTGTACAAAAGAAAATGCAAATTTCAATAGTAATAGCCACTTTTCATTAGTAAACCTTGTGACATCCCCTCGGCTCTCAATCAAACAACACATCTTTTTTACTAAGAGGCAGCAATTGCTCAGCGCACCTACATTGCAAAGACTTTGCATTGAACTGGATTGGGAAGTCTGTGATTGGTCAGCCACAGAAAGTCTGGGCAGAGTTAAAAGGGGAGGGTTTCCCAATACCTTAGATACGAGATCTGCATCTCTTGCAAGCTGTTTTTAAGATATACTCCGAATTAAAAATACATAATTAAATGCATGCATGTTTTCATTAATTATTAATTATACCTACTAAAAATGTATTTTATTTTTTGGGGGTAGGGAAGTGTTCCTTTAACCTTAACCTGTTCACTAGTAAAAACAATAAAGTGTTCTTAAAAGGCAGCTTTCTACAGATTTCTGTATAAAATATTTATTATTAACTAATGCTGTGTGGTTTAATATATGCTGACAATTGATGCATTCCAGGAGAGATTTAGTATTCAGATTATAATCCGAATCCGTAAAGATCTACCAAAGCACCACTATACCTGGGATTACACCTAAATTCCCATTGTCCGTCGCTTTTAATAGCACAAATATTTCCCCTGTTCTTAGAATATTAAAAGATTCAAAATAGAGCAATAATGATGGGGTAATGTTTGTAATAAATGGGTGGACTAGTAGGCAATTATAGTTATTTGGTTTGTACTCTATAAAGAAAGGCATGTCTTGTACGTTATGTCCTGAACTTCATCATAGGGTAAATGTGCAGTACGTATAAAAATACAATCTCCTATTCTCCTAATTAAAGGGACAATCCAAGCTGGAGAAGTGCATTGATGATGTTAAATTAACCCATTATATTCCACATATACATTGCAGTGTGGGTTTTAGTTAGTTATTGTGCTCATGCCATTTATTATATTGTTAATTTTGCTATATTTTAGAAACATAGCATTTGTGTACTTTAAATTGTTAACGTTGCTGATATACATTATCAAGTCTGGAGAGGTGTTTGTTACACATATATGGTAACACTTAAAAATATTTTGGGGTACTGGTTATTTTTTAGAAACAGGGGTGTAATGTAATTAGAAGTTGCAGGGTCTTGGTATAAGAATTGATCAAAGGGACACTATAGGCACCCAGACCTCTGATTACAGGAGTCCCCATCCCCTTAGCCCTGCAATCTAAACCATTGCCGTTTCGGGGAAACGGCAGCGTTTACATTGCAGAGTTAAGATTGCCTCTATCGGCTGTCTACCAGGCAGCTTCTAGAAGTGCTTCCTGCGGTTTTACAGAGTTTAATTCCGTGAAACAACACTGGACGTTCTCACACTTTGCATGTGTCTTCTAAATCCCCCATAATAAAGCACGGATTCATTACTTTGCAATAGGGAATGCCTAAGACTCGGTCGGCACTCACCTTGCATGCGCTTCCCCCTTTGTAATGACATCAGAGGAGGTGGAGACGTAGCCTGTGCTGAAGGACCTGAACACTGGAATAAGGCAATTGAAAAAAGTATTCGGCTGGTAAATGCTTTTCCGGCCACCGCTTAGTAAAGTGCCATGGTAACCCAGCAGCAGCGCGCTGACACAATTACTGAGTGCCAGACTATGAGGGAGAGTTTAAAGTGGTCTGCACCAACTCGAGGTACAGACTACAAACTTCCTAGAAGGATTTGACTGTTATTTAATATATTGACAAATACGGGAAGCCCTTTCCTGGCCTGGGTGGTGGTAGGCCTCTGCTCAAAAAGCCTATGAGCCATCAGTTCAGACTGCTTTTCTTGATCATTAATAATGCTACCATTTTTTTTTTTAAATTAAAAACAAATTTAAATTAAACATATTCAGCTAAACCTTGGTACAGAGGACCATCGCACAGTTCACATAACTATTGAGTTTCCTGCATCGCTGGGAGCTATGCCAATTTCTACAGACTCTGGTTACTGATGTCAGATCTCAGCCATATTGTTTTCATTTTGTATCAAGTCCTCGAAGGGTTTAAAATAGTGATACAAACCTAAAATGGTTACCCCTACGTTAAAATATTGGTAGCTCTTCAAATGCACATTCCAGCTAAACCTACTATAGGGTGGTTATATTAGTACAATATTAACCTTTTTGCATGGATGTTTTAAACATATTTTTTTAGCCTTTTGTGTCTTATCTGATTTCCAATATCTTTGTTGCAGCTGTAAGTAATTGTAAGTAACACAGTTCCTTCCACCATTACCCCTAGGAGAATCACAGATAATTGGAGTGCATTTGCACAATGACACTCAAATGAATTAGAGCACTTACAAAAAGCAATCAATAAAGAAATGACAGGGTGAATTCAAAGGAAACTTAAAATTTAAAGCCAAAATATGCAAACAGGAAAAAGTCGCAAGTCAACTGTGTTTCAAATTCGGCTTCTTTGCCCTTAAATTTGAATGCTCACTTGAGTGAGTAACCCTGTAAGAGTTGCATGTGTGATTGTGAATTTTATGTTTCACTGTTTTGTGCTTGTCATAGGGAGTCCATATCCCCAGTGCTATGGAATTTGCTGATGCTATATAAATAATAATAGCAGAATTAAATTCAAAAAATTATTTTAGGACAGACGCTCTTGGTCTTCCATTAGACCTTCAGGCTTTCTCAGGGTAAAGTTGAGGCATCCTCTGGTCTAGAGGATAGAAATGGTGGCAGCATCGAATCCTAAAAGTACAGGGTTCCTGAAGACTTGATTAAATTGTCCATAGTGGCTCATCTCGCACTAATTTGCCACAGGCCATTTTGCACTAAAGACGGCGAGCAAGCTGTTGCCAAACATCTCTGACCTTTTTTGTTTGTTTTAAAAGGACCCTGGCACACAACAAAATATTCAAGGTTTTTTTGTGTTAAAGTGTGATTTCTTTTGGAATTCAAAGAGAATTTCATATTTTAGCCAAACCACAGGTCACTTCAGCCATTTTATAACCATAAAATGTGAGATTTGTTTTTACTTTCTGATCATTTACTAAACTTGGAATAGTTGCCAAGTTAAATCCGAATTTCCAAATGCAGGCTAAAATAGCATTCGATTTGTAAAAATCCGCTAGATCGGCTATAGTCGGAGCTTGGTTAGATCAGCCAGATTTCTGCGATTCTGATTTCAATTCTTTACTATTCTGAGTTTAGTGAATAATTTAGCAAACCACGAGTGTGTGATAATCAGACTGTGAGCAATTGCACACCGACATCATGACCCTGAGCATTGCACATACACATCTGCCTGTTCCTACCCCTCCCAAAGAACCTTCGCAAGTCTTCCTAAATTATATACTTCCTCTAAATCGGATTATTCTCTGAAAAATTATTCATTAAGCCAGGTAATAGAAATTCTTGCTCAAAATGTACTATTTTGTCAGCCTGGACAATTTGGTCTAAAATTTGCAATTTAAGTTAAATTCCCAAGACACCCCACAACCCTTACACTTTGTATATTTCCCAGAAAATAAAATAATTCCAAAATACCATAGTATTGCAGTATGCATTGATACCTTGCATACTGCAATACTCTGGTATTTTGGCATAATATATATTTTTTATTTTATTTTTTTTTATATTATTTTCTCTGGGGGGGTAGTAAATAAATCCATGCAATAAAATGCAACCTCATCCTCTGAGCTCCCTGCACTGGGGACCACCTGTCCAGGTTTTCCTAGTAGGAGTCCCATAGCAACATCCCTGCAGCCTGTTTAATACAAGTATTAATAATAAAGATTGGAGATTTATTATATTATATTATATCCAGACATAGCTGGGCCAGGCTCCATTCATGCTGGCTGTGAATCATGGGTAATGTAGTCTATGTCACCTGGAGTGATTACTGCTTTAACCCATCCCAGACTGACATAGCAATCCTTAGACTTGGAGTAATAGCAGCATAGACTGCATGCAATGACACAGACTGTCCTCTCCCCCGCACCCTCACATGGTTTGCTCCTCTAGTGCACTGCTGAAGGTCCGGTTGTCTTGGGTCGTTCCAATGGAAATATCCAAGAGGGGCGTTTTATGTCCTATATGCATAAATTACCCAGTAGCCATTAAATTAACCTTCCTCGGCGAAGGTGGGAGGGGTTTAACAGCTGTCACTCATCATTAGGATAACGGGACGCTGGATTTGATTCCTTACTCGGATTGGCTAAAGGGCTGTCGCTAGGTCCCCGCCTCAGCCAATCACAACACGAGCAGCGGACTTAGTCCCTCCTCCCTACACCACAGTGACCAGCAGAGCGTTTAACCCTTTCTTACCCGGCTCTAGCGTGATCACCTGATAGAGGCCACTGTTCACTAATCCCCCCCCCAGTCCAACCACACCCCCCCTTACTGACAGACC